GGAAGAGTTAAGAGACACTAGGGATGGTAAGTAGGAGTTGATCATGGAAAAGAGGGTGACTTGGGTGGGCTTCAGATGAATTAGCCAGGGGCAGCTGACAAGATAACCTGAGGGCCCATGGTCTTGGGTTCCCTTCCATGCTGTATTTAAAATCTCAAATTAAGACTCCCTCTTGGGGACGGGGAGATGACTCAGTAGAATAAGCGCAAGGGTCTGAGTTCAATCTCCGGTTCTGCCAAAAAAAAGACAAAAAAAAAAAAAAAGAAAAAAAGACTCCCTTGCAGCTCCTGAGCATAAATCCACAAAAGCTCTACAAGCTTGAGAATTCCAGGGTGAGGAAACTTGACCCAACTTAGAAGGTTCACTGGAAATTCTAGCCCTTTTAATCAAAAAGAGTAGTTTTCAACGTCCCTGATGCTACACTGTAGCACAAGATCACTTTTGAGGTGTGTCCAAATTAAAACTAGCCATGGTTAAACACTAACTTTTTATATTGATGACTAGGATTTAGGTCTTGAACATCTTCTTGGTCACTTGAGAACGAGGCAAAGCTGCAGAAAGCGAGCGTGTAACCGACGCACCTGCCAGGATCTTCCCCACGAGGCGGCTCTCTCGGTTAATGTGTTGCGCCAAGCCTTACATGGCCCACTTATCTGAGCCAGCAGGGCAGCGTTCCCTTGCTCAGCAACTCCTTAAAATGTCTCTTGGGTATTTCGCAAACTTGGATTTCTGTAATGAAGACTGTAACCTCCTCAAGGTCAAAGGGCTGCGGCTTACAAAGCCTGGTGTCCTGCCGATAGAGACTGCCTGGCTCAGTAGCGTCCAGATGATAGATTTATCAATAAGACGAGCAAGACAAAGCAATGTTTGTGTTCTGCCTAACCACAGTTACAGAGAGCCCACAAAAAATAATTAACTCCCCACAATTCCTGGCTTGTCCCATCTTCACTGGCACAGTTCCCAACTAAGGACGTGGATTCCATCCCATAATTAAGGGCCCTGAGAGCCAGGATGTGAGGGACCCGGATCACTCAGAGATTTACTGAATGTAACTCCTAGGAGAGAGGGCTGTTTCCCTAAATATTTCATTAGGAGGTGAAACAAAGTGACTTTGGTGGAATCGGCCAACACCAAGGGGCAGGAGAGAAAGCGGAGTGAATGGACCGAGTTAAATCTCAGAATGGCGTGAGAAATGGCCTAAGTGGCAGTCCTTGGCAGGGAGCATGTGGACTCTATGCATTAGCTGGAAGTTTAAAAACCCTTAAAAAATTATTTTGTAAAATTTTCCACACTCATTGTAAAAAAACATTCAAAAATACAGAGAAAACAATGAAAGCAGTTTTATTAGTCATAATAAAACTTCATCATCTTTAAATAATCTCTTAATTTTTTTTATTTATTTTTATTTATTACATTTATTTATTGTGTGTGTGTGTGGCCAGCTCAGCCCACCAGGGGGCGGGGCTGGCTGGCATGTGGTGCTGGGGATAGAACCGTGGTCCCTGTGCTTAGCCAAGCTTGATTCAAGTAGGTGCTTTAGACCACTGAGCCATCTCTCCAGCCCCTAATCTATTAATATTTTTGTTAACATTCTATTTTCTATACATGCGCACCACGCTCTCCAAACAGGATCACAACAACTTATTATTGTTGCTGTTTTACTGAGAGAAGGTCTTGCTACATTGCTTGGCCTAGTGTGGAATCAGCTAGATCACATCACCCTCCTCCCTCAGCCTCTGGAATAGCGGGGGCTTCAGGCATGTACTACTATGCCTAGTCATGCTAAGTTCTTACAATCTTATAGTGTATTATAACTTTAACTTGTAATGTTCACTTTTAGCTCAAAATATAATTATATGGGGTTTTTTTTGGGGGGGTGGGCTTGGGGGGAACCAGGGATTGAATTCAGGCCCTTGTACTTGCTAGGGAAGCTCTTATTCCACTGAGCCATCTCCTTTTTTCTTTTTAAAAAAATATATTTTAGGGAAGGGCCTACAGGGTGTTCAGGGTCTCACTATTAGATCCGACTCATAGTGATCCACCTGTTTACAGCCTCTGAAGAGCTGGAATTACAGGTATGTGCCACCACACCCAGTCTCAATTGCTGTCTTAGCGTGCCCTGGGGGTGGGGGCGGCACGAAAATATAATTATAGACAGAGGAAAATATTCTACCCAGGTTCTAGCTTTGGCTCTGATCTAACCAGCCTTGGGCAAGCAGATCAACCTCTTTAAGATATAAATTCCTTAACTGTGAAGGATTTATCATTTGATGCCGAAGATACATAAGGCACCTTCCATCTCTATCATAGCTATTGGGTAATTATAGAAAGACGGTATTGTGCAGTGGTTATTGCCCTGCCACTGGCCAGGTTCTAATCCTAGCTCTACCTATAAGGTGAGGTCCTGGACAGTTCTCTTGACTTCTTAGTGCCTCAGTTTCCCATTCTGTAATATGAAGATGGAATTAATGATCGGAGATGGCTCCTGGGGTTACTGTGAGCATTAAAAAGCGAACATTCGGGGCTGGTGAGATGGCTCAGTGGTCTAAAGCACCTACTTAGAATAAGCTTAGCAAAGCACAGAGACCAC